TTTTTGTATATATTCCTGTTAGTATCTCCAAACTATAACTTCTATTACTATACAGGGGTCTGGACTAGGTGATCTTGTGAGGTCCCTTCCAGCCCTATTTTCCTACAGTCCTATGATTTTTACCTTTAACATTTCTCATGCTATTGTCAAATAGAACTCATCATAGTTTTAGCCCAATGCCTCTCATACATTCAGGCTTCTGCTGCAGCTGTCACAAAGCCAGAGTTGAAGTTACTGATACATAACACACTGTAAATTGTGCTTCTCTGAAAAAGAACTATGTGTCACAGCTTGGCTGTTTCCCCTCTTCATCCTACAGCCGGCTAGCTGTTTTCTCTTGCTCATGTGTATTGAGCTAGCACTGTGCACCCATGGAGGAGCTACATATTGGTATGCAAAGGGAGGTAGTGCTACTTCTCTTTCCCTCTGTAGTTGTGAGACTCTCCGCAAAGGTTTGGGGGGCGGTGAAAGAGTGGACAGTTTTTGTATATAACCAGTTTCCAGTGAAAAGGGGGTAAAGCCAAGATATTCAGATCTGGATGCCAACTGCAATCTTCAAAACAATGGGATAGGAAGATTTGATGCCTAATTTGAGTTTGGGTCTGTGTCTAATGTCAAGTGAAATAGCTAAAGCAATGAAGGAAGAAGCTTATAAATTTGGGGAGCTGGTAATGTTTATTAATGGATAAAAAAAGATTGCTCTGGATAAAATGACTTCCCAGTATTTATTTTTTGCCTGTCCAATTTACTTCAGTGGCATCACTGAGAAGTGGTAAAAAACCTGCCTAATATAGACTAACACAAGAAGGCTGTTGTGTAATTAAGCCTGCTGGATTTATATTTATTCACACTAATATAATTAATTACTTTCTTTAAATGCTTTGCTGTGACTCAAAATAAGCAGGTACTGAATTTGAAAACCACAGAACACAAAAAGCAAGACACAAAAATGCAAGGAGACTTTTGTGCATATCTAATTTTTATGGTTTCTACCTAGAATCCTAAAGGAACAGTGCTGCAGATTAATTGAAGAATGTGCTTCTCAGCATGCTTTCCATTTATTCAAAATGGGCAGGTCATACTGCCACAATGTTGTTGTTATTCTGGCATTCAAAGATTTTTGTAAACTTATCTCCTTTTATATCTGTATCACTGGTCTACTGGCAATGAAATGATATAATACAGGCACATTTTTTGTGGGGGGGGGTTTAAAGCAGTTATTCAACTTGGAAAAGAAACTACTGTTCATTCACAGTATCTACTTTTTATTAAAATGTACTAATTTTAGTGCTAATTTGAAATGGCCATCCTTCAAAACATATGGCAGCTTTTAAAAATGGATATTTAGTTTAAAATATAAACCTCTAACTAGCTACTGTAGGCAGAGCACCTCTTTGAGCATTGTATACATGCTTCATAGAATTTGGCCTGAGGCAGGATGAATCCTGGTCTGTTCAACTTGGTCTAGCATGCTTGAAATTGCAAAGACTAAAATAGAGCATGCATTCATATTTTACAATTTCTGATTTTAGGTCCCAAAGGAGGAGTATTAGCCAAAGGGGCATATTATTTCTTCTTTTTATGTCACACCTACAAATCTGTAGGCACAGTGATGGAAACTGAAGTGTAATTTGTTTTTGTTACAGTTTGCAAATACAAGTATTGGTTTCTAAGGTACATTATCACCCACATTTTTATTTTTAGATATCTTTGTTTTAAACATTATCAACCTAAGCAAAGAATTAATTTGTGATAACCAAATGCTCCACAGTTGAACAATCTGAACCAGTCTTTGTTCTCTTTACTCACATGAATAGCTCCATTGATTTCAATAAGGCTCTTTTTCATGCTTGTTCTCTGCTTGGTGTGGCAATTTAGAAGACATTGTCCCTGCCTTGAGTGTTCTACAGTCCAAGTTAGTTCCTGATCCTACCAATCACAAGTGTGGACTGTTGAGTATAAACACAGGGTAAAAATTAGCAACAGTATGAAACAGCTCTGGGAAGCCTGCTCCTGCATGCATGCCTGTCTTCTCGGCAT